TTCAGTCTGTTGGATGAAGTCGATGTCCTCTGAGAAGGAAAGTGTCTGTTAAACATCCCTGACCTGAATCTGTTGCCTCCACTCTGTTAATTAGTGAGAGCAGATGAACCTGCCTTTCTGCTAATCGCCAACATCATTTCCAGCTGTTATCAGACCAATTCACATCTGGCTCTCAGTCATTCTCTGCCAGATTGTCTCTGTGAGGTTTGTTCCAGTGACTGTGTGCACCGCCTGCCTTCTTGTGTTTCTTTTTTTTCATGCATTGGATTCACTATCAACTTTGGTTGAATGAAACTTTTATCATAGATCGACTTTATCAGATCAGACCTTTGCTAGCATTGCTGAGCTGTGAGGATCCCTGACATACATCTATTTGTTATTTATCTACTATATTTGCAGGGACGGTGTCCCTATAAGTTAAACCATGTCAAGATCGTTCTGAGCACAGTAACTGAGATAACTGTTAAGTGTAAATGGAACGCACAACTGAAGCTAACTGCGCTAACACGGTGCTAGTTCATCAGTAAGGCTCTGCGCGGTTCAGTTCCGGCTCGGTTCTCAGATAACAAAGACCGCATGAGCAGACCGCCTCATCTCTTTACAGTCAGCCTCCTAGCTTCCTACCATCCCACATGGTTTCCAGTGATGATTATGCTTAGCAGTGTGATGAACCTCCATGTCTGTCGTTGTTTCCTGCGTCTGGAAGCCCTGATTAGACCATCGTTTGTCGTATCAACTTCCCAAACCCGACTCTGTCAAGTAAATTCACCAAAGGCCAAACTTACATTAATGTTACGGGCGCCGCCATGTTGGTTTGCTTGTTTCCCTCTAGAGAGCAGTAGTACCGGAGATCGCCACCAGGAGGCGAGGTACCATGCTAGAGTGACGTGTAAATGGTCATAAGGAACTGAGCTCGGCACGGTTAACTGATCCAAGCTCAGTCTGAACTCGACTCGGATCGGTTTCAGAGGGGGAAGTGGAAACGGGGGATAATTGAATTAGCATTGCTGCAAAGCACCAGAATTAGCCAAAAGGCTATTTTCCATTTGTTCTCCCTGGACAGATTTTATAATTGTCCACCTAAAAAACTAGTGTTGAACCGATACCAGTGTGGGGCGGGGCTCTGATCCAGCACTAAGATGGTGGTATCATATCAGCGGGTACCAACCAATAGGGCACTGATACCATTTTGAGCCAAAAGTTTCTTCAACTATTGTCACCCATTCCAGGTAGGAAATAAAAATTTCTACTGGATTCACTTTGTTTTAGTCTTTTTCCTGCTTCACAAAGGAAGGCAGCAGCATGAAGCCATGATGGTGATTATTTTACATCCAAGCAGGATGCAGTTCTTCATAGAAACACACATCAATTTCAAACACATGGTATCAGTATGGGCCAATACTGCACAGCCAGGTATCAGTTATCGGTATCAGGGCCAAAAAATGGCATCGGCACAACACTAGTAAAAACACAACAGGATGAATTTGTCAGTGAACAATAAAAAATATAAAAAGAAATAAAACAAACATATATATATATAGAGAGAGAGAGATAGCAAAGGTTGAGAAGCAGCTTAAATTAAAAATCAAAGGTTGCGCAATATTCAGACGTCTCTTTGCCGTTATGATCAACAGGCTGAGCTAAGATTTAACTGAAAGAAGGGAGGACACGTTCACGCTGAGGTAATAAGAATAATCTGCGTATCTAGATTAGAAAAACGTCTAAATATAGATGTTTAAACCGAGGCGCATTATGTTAATTACACACACACAGGTTAAACATAATTAACTGTTATTGAACTATTTAATAAGCCTTTAAACTGAGGCAAACATGCCTATCTGATTCTGCCTGGCTGTGTGTTTCCTGGACGGGGCCGCCTGTGGAGCTGGTTGACAGTTGCCTTTTGTATCTATGCTTCTTTTTCTACGTCTGCTTCTGTCTCCTTGA